AGATTTTAGTTTGCTATAAAGAGACATAACCTCCTATGTTTTATTCCCAATCCTTTCTGTCCTCCATGATAGTTCTTATCAGCTTGTGTTACAAGTAAATAAAAGAGCTAATCTAAAAACCTATCACCTGATAGAGGAAGACATACAGTTTTCTCCATGGCCGTCTATAAAGCAAAAGTAGTGATGACAAGGCTGGATAATGATCCTTTCCAGTAAAGAATGTCATTCCTGTACAGCGTCTCTGTTGGGTATGTTAGGTAAGCAAAGACAGTAGAATAACCAAAGTTTGTTTTATAAATCAGTCATCTTTTAAGTACTTCAGCTGTGTTTCTGTCCTTATTTCACACCTGAAATTGCCAACTTTTCATTGACTAATTGTGTGACACTGACCTAGCTCTGTGAGCTCCAGTTCTCACTCTGTAAAATGAGGGTAACTCTCTCTCTCTCTGGCTTCTTCACAGGGTTGCTATTAAAAGCAAATGAGGTTATGGATGTGGAATACTTTATAAATTAGAAATTGCTACATGTAATGGTTTTTGTCTTCATTATCATTCAGGTTCTGTTGTCAGTGCTGTACTTCTAGTCTAAAAGATGGACCTTAATTTATTTTGATAAGCATGACCAAGACCTAGACAGGTTTAAAACATGATATGGCATTACCAATATGGGCATAAGAATAGGACATTTAAAAGTTTTTATTGTGAGCCATCAAAAATTTAGAATGCTTTATTAAGGTCTAAAAGAAAAATAGTATTGTTTTCTGATAACCTGTGGGCATTTTTCTGATGGTGCTCAGTAAAATATAGCAAAGCAAATCAAGTTGCCTTTTGACTTTTTGGACTGCTATTATGTGACTCTTTTATTGAGAAGAAAGTTCACTATCTGAAGAAAGCTATTATTACGCTAGGGGAAAAAAATATAAAGAGTACATCTCTCATTCAATACATATTCTTCAGAAATCTTGGTCACTGGAAGTCCATTGTTGTGTCTTTTAGCCTCCTTGAGAAATTCTTTTTTTCCTGCATTCAACAAATATTTCTTAAGCACCTGTTCTTTGCCAGGCATGGTTCTCAGGGTTGGAGATAGAATACAATTATGAACAAGATAGATACGGTCCATTTCCTCCCAGAGCTCTCAGTCTCTGAGGTATAAAGGCAGTTCCAAAACCCTGTTGCAGTCTGTTCTGTGACAGTGAAAGGTGGCGACACCCACATCTGTGCCAAGTGGAGAATCTCACCATTTGTCACATATGACTATGTTTAAGATGGCCCATCCCATACTGCCAGCCCTTCAAACAGCAGTCTGGATGCACAAATTTCAAAACCTATTTAGTGAACCTACTTTGCAGCAACTAAATAAAGTCTCCTTGCCACTTTAAGAAAAACACAAGATGCCATATTAAGGCCCCTGCTTTTAAGGTTGAGCACTTGACTGCAAAATTTGTAAAAGGTCAGTTGCTTCAGCACGTAGGTATCCCTGTCAGGGCCCACACTGTCTATTCTTGGCCCGATCAATTGCTTAGTGGGCGCTTCTAGAACTAAAATGATTGCTTAAAATCTGGCAGATTCTTCTGTGAGGAACGGTAAACCTTATTTTAAAATGAAAGATTCTCAGAACTTAGAGTACTTTTCTACTGATTCCTTCTAGAGCTTTATGTACATCTGTACACCCCTGTTTCATTTAACCAGTCTCTGCATGGATTGGCAATTAAGAGTCCTATTCTTGTTCTTACACTTAGAGAATAAATGAAAGGAGAGCAAGTAAACTGCCTATAGTTGTGATATTTAATATAACCTAACGTTTTATTGTGCCATATATTTCAGTTGAGTTTAAACCTGTTCACGAACATGGGACTAGTAGGCTGGAGATAACCTTAAGAGCATATAGAAAGGAAGGAAGATTTATTACAACTTGGTTGCTGTATTTTCTGCAGTAAGGATTTCTTACCACCTCGTGATTCTCAGATAAAATCTTTTCCATCTAGGAAAAAAAGTTCCAGCTTTGGGGCCAGACTGACCTAGGTTACAATCCCACTTCCACAATTTACTGAATTGACATTACTTGAACAGCTAACATGCTCCAGGCTCAGTAATGTAAATTCTGTAATCCCCCCAAACCATTCCTACCTCCAATCTCAAAAATTAGCAGGGCGTCTCTCCCTCCCTCACACATAATATTTTATAAGTTTAACATAGAGCTTTGCTAACAAGAATAAACTGAGATACTAATTCTTGGTTTATGACAAAAGCATCCTTTCCTGCTTGCCCGTGGGAGGGAGTAAACGCTTTCATGTAATGACACGAATCCTTATCCTAAATTCATAACCTCCGTCCACTTGACTGAATAAAAATGTGTGGCTGGGGACTTCCCTGTTGGCACACTGGGTAAGAATCAGCCTGCCAGTGCAGGGGACACGGGTTCAAGCCCTGGTGTGGGAAGATCCCACATGCCATGGAGCAACTAAGCCCGTGTGCCACAACTACTGAGCTTGCGCTCTAGAGCCCGTGCGCCACAACTACTGAAGCCCACGTGCCTAGAGCCCATGCTCTGCAACAAGAGAAACCACCGCAACGAGAAGCCCGCGCACCGCAACAAAGAGTAGCCTCCGCTCGCCACAACTAGAGAAAAGCCCTCACACAGCAATGAAGACCCAACGCAGCCAAAAATTTTTTAAAAATTAAATCTTTAAAAAAAACCCACGTGGCTGAAGTTGCTTTGGTGACCACTCTGGTTCCTTGTCCTCCTTCCTCTTAACAAGAGGCTGGCGTAGCCTCCCCACACATTCATTATGTGGTCACCTGCAGATACGATTCCTGCAGAATCTTCATGTGAATCTCAAGGTGTGGGAACCGGTTGATGAGAGGGCACAAATTATGCGCCGTGCAGATTTTTGCCTTCAGTAAGCTCCATGCCACAGTCCTACCATTTCTCCTGTCAAGGTGCAGCTCAAGGTTTAAATTTCACTCGTCATTTAGGACCTGATTCTTTTAAAGTGGTTTGCCTAACTATGCTTCTATCAATAACTTTTAATGTGTCTTGTTAATACCTCTTCTTAGAGGAGGCTAGGGGCATTTTACAATACTGACTTCTGATGGTAATTCTTTCCCCGATTTCACTCTTGCCACAGCTCTATCATTAACTGATGCTTAGGTCAGAATGACAGCTTTTCTTTTGGTGTGACTCCACCTAGCAAGTGAGTGTCTGAATTTTTTTTTTCTTTTTATATTTTTCCTATTTTAGTTCAGGCTGTAAGTCCCCAGTAAAGTTAGAGTATACGAATGCAAGGCTAAATCATAAGTAGTTAAAATTTTTCTCAGGCATCTACCCTCCACAGATTTCTGATCCCTACTCCCCCAAAGTCGTGTAAGGTGCTAGTGATCCAACGAATATGAAAAACTCAAAACTCACATCCACATCAAGTATTAAGGACCCTTTAATTTGCTACTTACAGCCCATATGCTTCTAAAAAGATTTTCAATTTGCACTACATAATGCTTAATTTGTCAATTTGTTATCTTTCTACGATTTATATTGTAAAACATTGAGAAACACAGATAATTTCTGTGTACTACAAAGGAATGCCCATCATAGGTAGATTTTCAGGCTTCTGCAGTTGAGGACCTTTACAGTGCTGCTGTTAAACCACACTGTGTGGATAGCTAATTTCATTAAGCCTGATTTCTGCTGGTGTGCCTTACTTTTAATAGTGAAATACTCCTGAAACATTTTATGTAAATTATTGGAGAACGGACTTCTACAACTGCCTCTACACACGTGGCTGTTGGGCACATGAAATATGGATTGTGTTGAATCTGAATTGTGTGCTGTTAAGTGTCAAATACATACTGGATTTCACAGACATAGTCTGGAAAAAGGAATCTAAATTTTCTCATTAATTTTTTTATATTGTTTTTCGAACTGACATTTTAGATATATTGGGTTAAGTAAAATATATTGTTAAAAATTAATTGTACCTGTTTCCTTTTCCTTTTTTACCATGGCAAGTGGAAATTTTTAAATTACATGTAATGGCTCTCATTAATTTCTATTTAACAGGACTGATCTAAAAAGATCCTCTAATCCAACCCCTTCATTTTAGAGATAAGAAAATCAAATAGAATTCATAGAAATTAAGTGACTTGCTTTTTTTAAGTCACAAAGCATCTTAGTATAGTAGTAAGTAGTAAAGCGACCAGTGCCCTTCTCAGTGATACCAGCTTTTTGTGACTCTTATACTTTTTTATAGGAGGAAGTGTCTATCCTTAGAAGTCTTCACTGAACCCTTTAGTTAGAGCAAAGATTTTTTTTTTCTATAGTGCAAGTAAAAAATCCTTTTGTTTTTATGAATTTGAAATTTCAGTTATTAGCTTTTCTTAAGATGGAGGTAGTTTTCCCTATGAAAATCTTGCAAACAGAACACTTAGGGCAGTGGAAAATATTTTTTTAAAAGATCCAGTAAATACCATACTAGAATTTTCCATCTCATTTGTACTTTTGTAATACAGATATGTCATAAATTTCAATTTCTTATTGGGTAAGCTGTAGTCATACTATCGTGTTAGCATATTACTAGGAAATGATACTAGTAAGAAGTGAGGCCTCCAGGCTATATATTTCCTTGGTAAATTGCTAGGCAACTAGTTATTTTCTCTTGCTAAGCTTTAGAACTCTCTATGTTAGTATTGTGAGAACAGCCTTTATTTGAGCTAAAGAATTGCTCACGTGTAGAAGAGTCATCCAGAGTTCAGTTTTAAGAGCGGTATAGAGTGGTGTTCTGTGGTGTAGGAACTATGACCTTGGACCAATTATTTAATGTCTCTGTGCCTCACTTTCCTTGTCTCTAAATTAGGGATAATACTACTCATGTATAGGGTGGTTGTGCGGGTTTGAATGACACATACGTAAAATATATATGTATGGCATAATATTCCATAATATCTCATATTATCAATTTTACCTTAGTACAAAGAGAAGATAAAAGAGCAAGTGTTTGTTCTTACCTTTAAAATATTTTTAGCCTCTTCCTCCTCTTTCCCAGAAATCTTCCACCATTGAAGTAAGAGTTCTCGGTCAAATCTGCTTATTAAGGACATCTTCTTTTCCTTAGAAATATATAAGTTTTTAATTGTTATCAGAGATATCACAATCCTTACAACACTTATAGACAGAGATACTCTCATTACAAATACAATAGGCATAAAGTATCACATTTATAATATACAATGTAAACAGATGAGACTTTATTAAAAAGCTCATCTAAACAGTAGTATTTTTTCCATTTGCAGCAAAATAATAAAATACCTAGGAATAAATTTAACAAAGGAAGTAGAAGACCTATACACTGAAAACTGTAAGACACTGATGAATGAAATTGAAGAAGACACAAATGAATGGAAAGATATTCTGTGCACATGGATTGGAAGAATTAACTTTGTTAAAATGTCCAAAGCAATCTATGGATTCACAGCAATCCTGTTCAAAATTCCAATGGCATTTTTCACAGAAATAGAAAAAAGCAATCCTAAAATCTGTATGGAATCACAAAAGACCCTGGGTAATCAAGGCATTCTTGAGAAAGAAGAATAAAGTTGGAGGCGTCACGCTCCCTGATTTCCAACTTTTACAAATCTATAGTAATCAAGATAGTATGGTATTGGCATAAAAACAGACATGTAGACCAATGGAATAGAATAGAAAGCTAGGAAATAAACCCACATGGTCAGTTAACTTATGACAAAGGAGGCAAGAATATACAATGGGATGACAGTCTTTTCAGGAAATGGTGTTGGGAAAACTGGACAGCCACATGCAAAAGAATGAAGCTGGAACACTATGTTATACCATACATAAAAATTAGGTCAAAATGGATTAAAGACTTGAACCTCAGACCTGAAACCATAAAACTCCTAGAAGAAAACATAGGTGGTACGTTCCTGGACATGGGTCTTGGTGATGATTTTTTTAGGTTTGACACCAAGAGCAAAGGCAACAGAAGCACCTCTTCTGTTTGACACCTCTTTCAGCTTGACAAGTCTCTGTGTTATTTATTCCTCCATAGTGACTTTAACTGAATTTAACAGAATCTGTTATGCTACGAAATGTATCAAAGTACACCTTGTGGTCAGTCTGTTTTTCAGTTTTCCATCTCAAGATAAAGTGACATATTACTGTTTTCAAAAAGAGAATATATTTTGGCAATTGTTAATTCATTCCCGTGAATTCGGTCATTGGGTTGAATGTGTGGTTTCACTCCAGGAAGTCTCTAGTTCCTACATCAGCAGTTGGTCTAGTATCTAAAGTGTTCACAGGTTAGTTAAAATTATACTCAGTACCAAATATAGTACTTCCATCAAGGAAGGCAAAGTCAAGTGACATTTCTGATGGTCTCAAAAATGACCATAAAGGATATGCTGAATAAAGGTTACTATTACTGAAATGCTTGCTAGAAGTTATTTCTCTGAGCATTGTTACAGGAAGGGAAAGGGAGAAATTGGTGAAATCTTGACTGGAATGCTGCCTTGTTTCTACCACTTGGGTTTGGCAGCCAGGAAATCATTATAAAAATTGTTATTGGCCTTAAAAAACTAAAAATAGAACTACCATATGACCCAGCAATCCCACTACTGGGCATATACCCTGAGAAAACCAGAATTCAAAAAGAGTCACGTACCAAAATGTTCATTGCAGCTCTATTTACAATAGCCAGGACATGGAAGCAACCTAAGTGTCCATCGACAGATGAATGGATAAAGAAGATGTGGCACATATATACGATGGAATATGACTCAGCAATAAAAAGGAACGAAACTAAGTTATTTGTAATGAGGTGGATGGACCTAGAGACTGTCATACAGAGTTAAGTAAGTCAGAAAGAGAAAAACAAATACCGTATGCTAACACATATATATGGAATCTAAAAAAAAAAAAAGACAAAAAAATGGTCAGAAGAACGTAGGGGCAAGATGGGAATAAAGATGCAGACCTACTAGAGAATGGACTTGAGGATATGGGGAGGGGGAAGGGTAAGCTGGGACAAAGTGAGAGAGTGTCATGGACATATATACACTACCAAACGTAGGATGCATAGCTAGTGGGAAGCAGCCGCATGGCACAGGGAGATCAGCTAGGTGGTTTGTGACCACTTAGAGGGGCAGGATAGGGAGGATGGGAGGGAGGGAGATGCAAGAGGGAAGAGATATGGGAACATATGTATAACTGATTCACTTTGTTATAAAGCAGAAACTAACACACCATTGTAAAGCAATTATACTCCAATAAAGATGTTAAAAAAAGGGACATATGTATATGTATAGCTGATTCACTTTGTTATAAAGCAGAAACTAACACACCATTGTAAAACAATTATACTCCAATAAAGATGTTAAAAAAAATTGTTATTGGCTCTTTTATTATCCAGTCATCAAACTTAATGAAAAAGATAACTAGAAAGTAAAGACTGCTTTTAAAATTACTAGGTCAATTATCTGTATTTCTGAAGGAAAGGTTTTTAAAAAGCTGTATGTACCCTGGCAAGTCTGTCATATCTGCCAGCCCTATTTATACTACTTTCTCAATTTGCAAGGATAATAAAATAATTTCTCTTGTTCTTTGAAAAGCTCCGTATGCCAGATTCTTACAGTGATATTAGTCTACCTGTTACTCAAGTTATGATTAGATTTTATATTACCTGGATTTCTTAACGTATTTCCCTTATGTTGATATTTAGGATAATACTGAATGTGGCAGATAGACTTAACTTATATTTTCAAATTTCATTACAGTTGGCAAGGAAATAATAACTAACATTTACTGAGTCCTTACTTACTGTGTTCCAGGAACCATATTAAGGAGCTTTATTGGTGTTATTCATTTCTCACAGCATCTCACTAAGTAGGCTCACTTATTTCCATTTTACAGATGAGGAAACTGAGACATATGAAGATTAAGTAACCAAGGTGCAGAAACATACAGCAACTTTTCCAAGATCACATAGCTGGGGAGCCCTTATCCAGTATGTTTATGTTGTCTTTTCTACAGTTCAACACAGTTCACTGCAAAAGCATTTGTGGCGGTATGCACATAGAAGTTCATCCAGAATAAAATTAAGGAGTGTAGCCAAGGGGAAGACCAGGAGGCAGGGATTATGGTGCCAGTGGATTGTGGGAGGTCTTCTGAAGGAAGGGTGGAAGATAACACCAGTCCATTACTCAGCCCAGAAACGCTCATTCATTCAGCAGTATTTATTGAGTGTCTACTGTGTGCCAGGTATTCTGCTACGTACTACATATACAATTGACTGCACAGGGGCTCTGACTCACAGGGTTTGCATTTTAGTAGGAGATAAAAACTAATCTAAAATAAAATAGGCAAATAGGGCTTCCCTGGTCGCACAGTGGTTGAGAGTCTGTCTGCCGATGCAGGGGACGCAGGTTCGTGCCCCGGTCCGGGAAGATCCCACATGCCGCAGAGCGGCTGGGCCCGTGAGCCATGGCCGCTGAGCCTGCGCGTCCGGAGCCTGTGCTCCGCAACGGGAGAGGCCACAACAGTGAGAGGCCCGTGTACCTCAATAAATAAATAAATAAATAAAATATGCAAATATATAAAATTACATCAGGTCATTGGAAGTATAGTGAAGGAAATAACCCGTGCAATGAGATAGAGAACAGCTAGAGGTACTTGGGAGGATCTACTCTAAGATGAGGTGGACAGAGCAGGTCTCTCTGAGGAAATAGTATTTAAGATGAGACTTAAAGCATTAAATTGAAGCAAAGAGTGTTAGAACTGGGGAGCAAAGGCAAATTAAAATGATACCTTTTCTCATTCAGATTGGGAAAGATTAAAAAACCTGAAAATCACCAAGTTTTGGTGGTGGTGTATGAAAAAGAAAATGCTCACAGCCAGTATAAGCCTAGACAACTACTCTAGAGAGCAATTTGGCAAAATCTCTCAAATGAGAAAACAATTTTGTATATATACTCTAGACCAGTTATTCTTAAAAGAAGTCTAATAACAATGTACCTCCTTATACTAAGATGTCATAAAAATTTTCTATCATAAGTTTAACAGTTGCAAAGGATGGGATTTCCCACATATTGTAAAGATTGACATTTAAACATAAAACTATTTTATCATTCCTTCATGTATGTCCAATGAAATTGAAGTCCCATAGCAATTTGACACATGACATCATCCATCTAAAAACTACATGCACAGGCTCTTTAACAATCAGAAATTTTACATCATTCCTTTTTCTACTTGAACTCAGATTTCTATCCACTGAGTTTAATCCTTTATCTTGAAGGTCTTTTATTGATTACTATACCATATTTCTTAGCAACAAAAAATATTGGTATAAATTAAATATATATATATGTGTGTGTATATATGTGTGTGTGTGTATATATATATCTACTATGACCATAGGCCAAGTGTTAGAAAATTTCTTCTGAATTATTATTTTAATTATTGGTAATATGTAATCAATCAAAACAATATAAATATACTACAAATTTTTATAATTACTAAACTTGAAAGGTAAATTTTTATAGAAGGGGATCTCTTAATAGAAGAGCTTAATATTTTTCTTCCATAAGTTCAATAAGTTCATGTATCTAAGGATGATTATTACTACAATGAAGCTAACAGTAAAATGAAGAGAAGGAATTGGGCCATGGTAATTAGTGTAGAGGAAGAACTTATAAAGATGTTAGTGTTTTTTAAGTGCATTAGATATAGTAGAATCTCCAATATTCCTTTTTCAAGATTATCTAAATATTATATACTGCTTAGATGAAATTTAAAAATGAATATAGATTTATGATTTTCAAAAATATGTTGGCAAAAGAATGAAAATGTTTCCTATATGAGTCTGATTGAGGGTTCAAGAAAATAAAAAACACTCACTATGACCAATATGTATTCCTTTTACTTGAAGATGTAGCTTTGATCTATTGGAAGTAAAGGTGAAATTTTCACCATTAATCTACTTTCTGTCTCAATAGATTTGCCTCTTCTGAATATTTCATATAAGTAGAATTATATGTGGTCTTTTGTAACACTTCTTTCACTTAGCATAGTGTTTTCAAGGGTAATCCATTTGAAA